TGAACGACAGGAGCGAAGCGCAGATCCCAAAATGAGGCCCACGCTGCAACGGCAGCACCATGTTGAAAGGATCGAGAACGGCCGGTTTGCTACCCAAGAGAAACATGTTGAACTATTGTGAACAAAAAACAACAACAACAACAACAACAACAACAACAACAACAACAACAACAACAACAACAACAACAACAACAACAACAACAACCACCACCACCACCACCACCACCACCACCACAACAACACCACCACCAACACCAACATCAACACCAACAACCACATCAACAACAACAACAACAACAAGAACAACAACAACCACAACAACAACAACAACAACAACAACAACAACAACAACAACAACAACAACAACAACATCAACAGCAACAACAACAACCACAACAACAACGACAGCAGCAAACTTGGCCTGGCGATGGACCCAACCATATGCAATTGTGAATACCGCGATTGTGAATAGTTTCGTCGGTGGCGCTCCTTAGTGGGGCCACGGAGCGCTGTACTGGGTGGGCGAAACGCAGGGAGCAAGGGCCGTGCTGGGTGGTGGCGGACGCATGCGGGCGGTGCCACTGGGACGTTCGGTGGAGCCCCCTGTATGGGACCACGAAGCGCTGTACTGGGTGGGTGAAACGCAGGGAGCAAGGGCTGTGTTGGGTGGTGGGGACGCATGCGGGCGGTGCCACTAGGACCCTCGGTGGGGCCCCCTAGGGGCCACGAAACGTTGCACTGGGTGGGTGAAGCGCAGGGAGCAAGGGCTGTGCTGGTTGGTGGCGGACGCATGCGGGCGGTTCCATTGGGACCTTCGGTGGAGCCCTCTTTTAATGGGGCCATGAAACGTTGTACTGGGTGGGCGAAACGAAGGGAGCAAGAGGCTGTGCTGACTGGTGGCGGACGCATGCGGGCGGTGCCCCTGGGACCTTCGGTGGAACCCCCTTATGGGGCCACGAAGCGCTGTACTGGGTGGGTGAAACGCGGGGAGCAAGGGCTGTGCTGGGCGGTGGCGGACGCACGCGTGCGGTGCCAACGGGACTTTTGGTGGAGCTCCCTATGGGGCCACGAAACGCCGTACTGGGCGGGTGAAACGCAGGGAGCGAGGGCTGCGATAAGTGGTGGCGGACGCATGCGGGCGGTGCCACTGGGACCTTCGGAGGAGCCCCCTATGGGGCCACGAAACGCTGCACTAACAACAGCAACAACAACAATTCTAGACGCTTCGCGTATCCCCACCAGCCCGTCCAGAAATGAGTCCCAGGGGAGTGGAGGTTATGAGGGAAGCGGGGGAGCATGCAGAAGAACAAAGGGCGGGGTGAGCCGCCATATACCCCAAGAGGGGGAGGATGTAGGAGGAGCCGTCGTCGTCGGAGTAGGAGGAGGAAGAGGAGGAGCAGGAGGAGGAGCAGGAGGAGGAGGAGGAGGAATAGAAGGAGGAGGAGATGGAGGACTGCGAGGACGAGGAGGACGAGAAGGAGGAAAAGGAGAAGGAGGAGGAGGAGGAGGAGGAGGAGGAGGGGGAGGGGGAGGAGGGAGGAGGAAGAAAAAGAGGAGGAGGAGGAGGAGGAGGACAATTGCGAGCTTGGGGGCCTCTTGGGCCGTCCTTGGGGCCTCTTGGCGGTCCCGGGGGCCTCTTGCGTATCTCGGGGAGCCTCTTGTGGCCTCTTGGGGGTCTCTTGGGGGCCTCTTGGAGGCCTCTTGGGGGCCTCTTGGGGCCTCTTGGGGCCCTCTTGGGGCGCTCTTGGGGCGCTCTTGGGAGCCTTCGAGGCGCTCTTGGGGCCATCTTGGAGGAGATCTATCAAAGAAGGGGGGGTCCCCAATTAGCGCTGCCCCTCTAGAGTGCCTCGAGTCGCCTCTTGGGCCCCCCCAAGAGGCCAAAACCCTTCCAAAACCTAGATAAAATCATTGTGTTTTCTGTTTTCTCGCCTTTTCGCTCTTGAAGCCGTCTTGGGCCATCTTGGACTCTCTTGGGGCCTCTTGGGGGTCTTTTGGAGGCCTCTTGGGCGCCTCTTGGGGCCTCTTGGGGCGCTCTCGGGGCGCTCTTGGGGCGCTCTTGGGAGCCTTCGGGGCGCTCTTGGGGCCATCTTGCAGGAGATCGATCAGAGAAGAGGGGGTCTTCAATTAGCGTTGCCCCTCTAGAGTGCCTCGAGTCGCCTCTTGGGCCCCCCAAGAGGCCAAAATCCTTCCAAAACCTAGATAAAATCAATGTTCTCTGTTTTCTCGCCTTTTCGCTCTTGGAGCCGTCTTGGGCCATCTTGGACTCTCTTGGGGCCTCTTGGGGGTCTCTTGGCAGCCTCTTGGAGGCTTCTTGGGGGCCTCTTGGGGTCTCTTGGGGCCCTCTTGGGGCGCTCTCGGGGCGCTCTTGGGAGCCTTCGGGGCGCTCTTTGGGCCATCTTGGAGGAGATCTATCAAAGAAGGAGGGGTTGCTTATTAGCCCCGCCCCTCCAGAGTGCCTCGAGTCGCCTCTTGGGCCCCCCCAAGATGCCAAAATCCTTCCAAAACCTAGGTAAAATCAATGTTTTGTGTTTTCTCGCCTGTTCGCTCTTGGAGCTGTCTTGGGCCATCTTGGACGCTCTGACACCTCGCGACCGGCCCCGTCCAGGTCAGTGGGGAGGGGTAAGGGGAGGGGTAAACCCCTCCCCGAAGGGGAAGAAGGGGGTTGGCAGAGGAAACTCCCTAGACCACCTACGCCCTAAAGGGCTGGCGGGATTAGCTTGGCGAAGGACCCAACCATATGCAGTTGTGAGCAATGCTGGTGTGAGTACCGTCTTCGGTGGATCTCCCTATGGGGCCACGAACCGTTTGAGGGGTGTGCCGAAATGGGTGTGGGGGCGGCATGCGAACGTTGCCACTGGGGCCTTCGGTGGAGCTCCTTATGGGGCCACGAAACGTGTGAGGGGTGCACCGAAGTTGGTGTGGGGGCGGCATGCGAACGCAGCCACTGGGGCCTTCGGTGGAGCTCCCTGTGGGGCCACGAAACGTGTGAGGGGTGTGCCGAAATTGGTGTGGGGGCGGCATGCGAACGCAGCCACTGGGGCCTTCGGTGGAGCTCCCTATGGTGCCACGAAACGTGTGAGGGGTGTGCCGAAATGGGTGTGGGGGCGCATGCGAACCCAGTCACTGGGGCCTTCAGTGGAAATCCCCATGGGGCCACGAAACGTGTGAGGGATGTGCCGAAATGGGTGTTGGGGAGGCATACGAACCAGGCCACTGGGGCCTTCGGTGGAGCTCCCTATGGGGCCACGAAACGTGTGAGGGGTGTGCCGAAATGGGTGGTGGGGAGGCATGCGGACCCTGCCACTGGGGCCTTCGGTGGAGCTCCCTATGGGGCCACGAAACGTGTGAGGGGTGTGCCGAAATGGGTGGTGGGGAGGCATGCGAACCCTGCCACTGGGGCCTTCGGTGGAGCTCCCTATGGGGCCACGAAACGTGTGAGGGGTGTGCCGAAATGGGTGGGGGAGGCATGCGGCCACTGGGGCCTTCGGTGGAGCTCCCTATGGGGCCACGAAACGTGTGAGGGGTGTGCCGAAATGGGTGGTGGGGAGGCATGCGGACCCTGCCACTGGGGCCTTCGGTGGAGCTCCCTATGGGGCCACGAAACGTGTGAGGGGTGTGCCGAAATGGGTGGTGGGGAGGCATGCGAACCCTGCCACTGGGGCCTTCGGTGGAGCTCCCTATGGGGCCACGAAACGTGTGAGGGGTGTGCCGAATGGGTGGTGGGGAGGCATGCGGACCCTGCCACTGGGGCCTTCGGTGGAGCTCCCTATGGGGCCACGAAACGTGTGAGGGGTGTGCCGACATGGGTGGTGGGGAGGCATGCGGACCCTGCCACTGGGGCCTTCGGTGGAGCTGCCTATGGGGCCACGAAACGTGTGAGGGGTGTGCCGAAATGGGTGGTGGGGAGGCATTCGAACCCTGCCACTGGGGCCTTCGGTGGAGCTCCCTATGGGGCCACGAAACGTGTGAGGGGTGTGCCGAAATGGGTGGTGGGGAGGCATGCGACCCTGCCACTGGGGCCTTCGGTGGAGATGGGGCACGAAACGTGTGAGGGTGTGCGAAATGGGTGGTGGGGAGGCATGCGGCCCTGCCACTGGGGCCTTCGGTGGAGCTCCCTATGGGGCCACGATGTGATGCGTGGAGAGAGAGTGAGATGTGCCACTGGGGCCTTCGGTGGAGCTCCCTATGGGGAGGAGAGATGAGAGGGGGAGATAGAGAGAGAGAGAGAGAGAGAGAGAGAGAGAGAGAACAAAAAAAAAAAAAAAAGAGAGAGAGAGAGAGAGAGAGAGAGAGGGAGATGGGAGGGAGGATGGGGGGGGCACAGGAAAGAGGACAGGGAGGAGGAGGGGGAGAAGGGGGGACAGAGGGCGGAGGGGATGGAGGAGGAGGAAGAGGAGGAAGAGGAGGAGGGGATGGAGGAGGAGGAGGAGGAGACACACTCAGCAAGGGGGGGAGGAGGGGGGTCCCAGTCCCAGGCACCTTGAAGGACAGCTCGCACATGGCCACAGCGGCGGGCCATCGCCCTCGCGCGGACCTGAGCGAGACCTGCTATACTATACGACTCGCGACAGGCCCCGAAAGTGAACACTGAAGACGGATCCTCAGGGCCCAGGTTTCAGGAAGAAGAAGGAGGGTGGCCTTCACGGCATGTAAAGGACAAGGACACTGCAGTTAATGGATCATACTGTCACCTTTTTCAAGCCTGCAACACCAGCATGGACGAGTAGGAATAGGATGCCGAGCCGAACAGTTCCAGTGATTACTACATATGGTCTTCAGAGCCGAGGAGAGCATGCATTGTGGGACATACCGAGCGGCCTGTTTTAGCCCAAGACCAGTCATGCACGCCTCCTGCTATGTAATCCCACTCCTGAATTCCCGAAGCCGAGTAAATAGGAGATCACCCATGGACTTTCGACGTGCACAACTGCGCAGCAATTCATATGGATTCGCCTGAAGACGGTTGCATGCAGGGTCTGTAGGCACAGCTGGAAGATTACCTATCTCGGCCTTGACAGCCATGAGGTGGAACATGACCGGGTTATACACGAGCGGGCTCGACTTGTGAGTGAGCAACCAATCGGAACCCTCCATAATCGCATCATACACGTATTCACACCTGGTATATGCTATACTCCTCACAGTAACACGATAGGCAGCAGCACGGGCGTATATTTTGAGATCCCTCACGTCACGCTGAACACCCAAAGTGGACAGGTTAAGCACCATCTCGTGGCAAATGGCATTGGAGGGGCCGTTATGCAAAAGCCGAACAGCTTCATACTCGCGCCGAAGAACATTGGGCGACGGTGGCAGTAGCTGGGCGACATTGCCTAGCGCCAGAAACGCAAAGATATCATACGCGAGGAGGTTGGTACAAAATCCGTGCCCCCATCACTTTTACTTGCCAAGCACGAGCGAGAAGTTTGTCCCCAGGGCCCGTCCAGGAAGCAGTTTCCCCACCCTCTCCAACAACGAAGCCCAGGTATCGCCCGCACGCAGATAGCTGAAACTCAGAGACATCAAGCCCGTGAGCAGCAAACTGAGTTAGTGCCGCAGCAGCGCTAACACCTGCTGGGATAAGAATAACCGTCTTGCCCGGGTGACTGCGCAAGCCAGTGACCGCACCGACCCGACGAAGCACAGGAAGGACCAAGGGTAACGCAGCGAAGATGCCCTGGGAGGCAAGACCAAGATGATCAGCAAACGCACACAACGAGAAGGTCGGCGACGACGGGATCCGATCGAGCATGCACCGAATGAAAGGGGTCAGTGGCTAGCACATACAACAGCCCACTTACAAGGCATCCTTGCTCGACGCCGCGCTCAAGCGTGAAAAAGTACTCGTCGCACGCACGGAAGCTAACAAAAACTCGCACCGCTTTATAGAGCTGACGTAGTGCATGCAGAAAGAATCCAGGAATCTGCATCTTCTCAAGGATATAGAAGAGGTAGTCGTGGGAGAGGGAGGGGAACGCGGTTTTCACGTCATACAGGACGCCTCCAGTGCCCACATGGCCCTCAGCACCTCCCCAAATCCGAAGCCCCGAGCCCGGGGAAATGATATGGTCCAGAATTTGGCGCCCAGGGGGGAAACAAGCCTGGACATGGTGGATCACTTCAGCACCCACTTCCCGAAGAGGCCAGGCATAAGCACCCGCAGTCAATTTGCTGTCGGCGTTGGAGAGCGCGAGGGGCCGCGCGCCAGATGGTGGCGCGATTTGCCTGGGCGCCACAACAGATATCTCACCCTTCGGCAAGGAGGCAGCCAGCGAAAAGTTGAAACCAGCAGGTAACTCGCCATAGCGCAGGCCACATAGGTACAGCTGGTAGAGCGCGTCGATAGCCATTCCACCGCTGGCCTTCCAGACCGAATATGGAATCCCAGCCGCACACCTGGGCCGCTGTCACGCTTAGCCGAGACAAATTGCTCAAACTGGTCATACCTCAGGACCCACTCAATACCCTCGGGAAGCTTCTGGATACACGGGTCCAGGAAATGGAAAACCGAATTCACAACGGGCTGAAACTTCGAGACCACCCCAGTAGTCGGCCAGCTGCTTAGCAGATCTGGCAGGGTATACACACTCGTCTCCAGAATCAGAGACTGTCCCACGCAGATACACACGCCGGTGGGCAGGCTTCCATGCAGCTGCAAGCTCCTTGATACGCTGGGTGTTGTTAGCTTTCTGGGTAGAAGAAAGCTTAGGGCCATTCTGAATTGCATCCTCATCCCGCTTCAAAACCTCCCCCATCAGCTTTTGCAGAAGCCCGTGGAAGCCAGCCACATCACTCCATTGAAAGACGTCGGAGTCATAAAAGCCCCGAAGCACAGCCCACGCACGCAGAGCACGCAGAGATGTCTCATGGCACCCTTCCCGATGCGAACGCAGTAGCGCCAGCGTCCGCGAGATTTTCTGGTCCGCTGACTCGGGGCCAATAAACTCAGCCACCTTCTTCACCCTCCTCGCCGCCTCATAAATCAGCTCCTTAACCTCCTCCACCCGATCACAAGGGGCCTCGGGAAAATTCACTTCCTCCAAAAGCTCTCGCAGGATGCCTCCGAATTTAGCATGGCGGGACACCCACGTCGGAGCACTAAGCCTGGGCGACCTCGGAGTTGAAGTGAGGGGGGCAAAAACGCACGCACGGTCGCTCGGTAGGCGAGGATCCAGCAAATCACCTGATAGTCCTGCGAGGGAGGCGAGATCGAGAACATCAGACGTGGGAATGGACATGTAGACCCAATCTAATATCCCAAGATATAACCCCCTGATGATGAACGGTTTTGTGGGCATACTCGGGTTGGTGGAGTTCAAGCATCCCAGGAAATAGCTCGTCGAAATACTGCCCCAGAGCGTTGGGGCCCCCCTCTATCAGGTCCTCAGCAATAGGAAGCCTCCCCTCGCCAGCAGCCGAGAAGTTTAAGTCGCCACAGATGAACGTAGTGACGAGTGAAAATCGCGAACTCGCCGTCGAATGGCAAGAAGCGCTCCACGAGCATGAAGATGTGCCCAGCTCGGGTGTAGATGCAAGTTGACTATGTCAAGGTCCCCGCACTCCCCGCGCACCCTTACAATCCCAATCCGCCCAGAAACAGTCGGGGCAAGCCTGAACCCGTTGAATCGCGCAGCGAGCCTTTCGTGCACCACGAATAAGATACCCTCGGCCCCCACATTCTCCACGAAGGACCCCACGAGCTTCCAGGAGGGGAAAAGCTATTTCAACTCATTCATATCTTCCAGCTGGTCGTGCGTTCCCTGCCGGACAACCGCGTCAAAGTCGCGAGCGATAGATTGGCATTTCGCCCAAGTAGCCTTCTGCAGCTCAGGGCTGGCCCATATGGAACCGAACAACGCGTGAACGTTCCAAGTGGCAACCCTCAGACTGCCGGGCACAGGGGGGCAGGGAGGATCTAGATACCGTCGGGGGGGCGGAATCAGGGGATCCATCCGAGGAAGAAGAGGACGAAGACGAGGAGGAGGAGGAGGAGGGCGAGCGGGAAACAGAACGGAGGCGCGCAGCACTAGAAGGCCTGGCATCACTCCTACATCCAGTGCGCAGCGACGGCGTCGAGCTCCACAGTCCCGAGGAAGTGGGCCCACCCGTCGCTGCTCCCAACGCTGGCGAAGAGGACGCCAGCCGATGAACGCGTGAACTGTCTCGTCCAGCCTCACGTCAAAAGAACCTGTGGACTCGACCAAGCATAGCAGCGACCTCCTGCTCGGAATTCTTCCACCAGGCGAACGAGCTGAAGACGGGCTCGAAGGTGAAGCCAGTGAGCTCGCCCCCCTTGGTCCAGAAGAGCTCGAACGTCTCCTCAGCCGGAGTAAGATGGATGAAGCACTGGAAGCCATAGACGCCCAGGCGGAAGTCGGCGATCCGGCACTTGCACTGCTTGAATAGGGCCAGTGTCGCTTCCCAGACGCGACTTGCAGCTCCTTGTTGTGCCCGCACATCAACAGGTAAATCTTGACGAACACGAAGTGTGGCCGATGCTGACGTTCGCACATCCTGCCAGCAGAGCGCCTTGTCGGACATGAAAGTTGAGAAGGCTCTCGCAGCACTGGCACCTGGAAAGGTTGATCCCGCAGCTCTTACTGACCCCATTCAACATCGGGGTCATGGTCTCTAGGATGTGGTTCAGTAACATAGGGCGCAGTACGTTCTCATAGTGAGCAGTCTTCTGCTTACTCGTCACACTCCGTGAGAAGGCACCAATCCAACGCTTACAATCGTTAACTGCCGCCTGATCATGTGAACTGCTAGCACTAGATGGCGGCCCACCGCGACTGCTACTTCCACCTTCCGAAAACACCGTTGCCTTGAGTTCCTTAACCTCTTTGGTCAAGTCAATCACCTCCTTGGGTAACTTCTCCTGCCTCGACGGGCCCCGAAAGCAGCCCATGGGTCCTGACGGGGAGTGTCAGCACCTCTATCCATATTCACATCTCCAGCAGATTGAAGAGAGGCGAGGGTGGTCTCGATGGCAACAATCCGAGGATCACCCTGGACCCTGTACTCGTTGAATTCCTTCATGATGGATGCGTGGTTGGCCGACGTCTGAGCCGACATCTGAGCCGAGACGGACTCGCCGAGCGTGGTGGCGAAGCCGGCGAGGGTCTCCTGCAAGGCCGAGCTACCGGACGGGGCCACTATGCTCGCGATGTGCGAGTAGTCGATGCCTCTGTAGTCGAAAAATTGTGTCGATAATCCACGTTCGCCACTGCCTCGCGGCGACTCACCAACAGACCTGCTTCGGTGGTGGTGGCCATCTCCATCTTCGTAGTCGCTCACGTCAGATGAGTGGTTCCCGTCTGCGACGCTCACGAGGGCGAGATGGACGGCGAGATGGCGAACTCTCCTCCGTGGCCTTACCACAGCGCTTGCGCCCCATGAATTGAACTGGACCGCTCGCGATGGCAGGAACGGGAAACGCCTCCGTTTACTCACCAGCTCGAACGTGGGAGTGGCACAAGATACTGCCAAACTTCAAGAAGTCTTGCCTGCCGCGGACTAGCGGTATCCACTTGTTCCCCTGCGGAAACGTGCATCTTGAGCCAAAATGGCTACGGAAGGAAGAGGAGGAGGAGGAGGAGGAGGAGGAGGAAGAGGAGGAGGAGGAGGCAGCAGCAACTGCAAGAGCAGCAGCAGCAGCAGCAGCAGCAGCAGCAGCAGCAGCAGCAGCAGGCCGACGCCGCCGGCGTGCCAGCTGCCAGGGCACACAGGCGCGCGAGCGCCCACGCGGCTGCGGGCGCGCCCGCGAAGGCCAGCGCAGCTGAGGCACACTGGCCACCGCCTTTGCGCCCGCCGACGACGACACCCCGCAGGAGGAGAGGGAGGGGAGGAGCGGAGGGAGGGGGAGGGGAGGGAGGGGAGGAGAGGAGGGAGGAGAGGGAGGGGAGGAGGAGAGGGAGGGGAGGAGGGGAGGGAGGGGAGGAGAGGGAGGGAAGGGAGGGGGAGAATGGGAGGGAGGGAGGAGAGGGAGGGGAGGAGGGGAGGGAGGGGGAGAATGGGGGGGGGAAGGGAAGAGGTGGGAGGTAGAGGAAGAGGGGAGGGGAGGAGAGGGGTGCAAGTTCGGTGCGCTCGCGCCTCATCTGACATCCTGTCCCTCCCTCCCATGCCTTCACGTTGCGCTGATCTTCATAAATCCGCGGATGCGTGTCATAGCGGACCTGCAAATTCAACAAAAAGACCACATCGTGTTATGCGCAATCGGGATTGGGGAGCTGCGTGCACAGGAGGAGCAAGAGGAGGAGGAGGAGGAGGAGGAGGAGGAGGAGGAGGAGGAGGAGGAGGAGGAGGAGGCGGGTGAGCAGGAGGATTAGCGGGAGGAAAAGGATGAGGACGAACAGCAGCAGCAGGAAGTGGAGTGGAAGCAGCGGGCAGAGCGGGAGGACCAGGGGAAGGCGGAAGAGAAGAAATGAGGGGGCGACAACGATAAAGAAATATTCGGATTCAGAGAAGCGGCCCTCGCTGAGCGAGAGCGCCATTCTGAACGACGGAAGCAAAGCGCCGATTCGAAAATGAGGCCCACGCTGCAGCGGGAGCACCGATTTGAAGCACCGAAAACAATCGAGGGGAGACAAACGTAAGAAAATTAAACAAGTTCAAAAGTCCCGCTTTTATGCAAAACAAAACAAACACTGAGAGGGCCGGATATCTTCCTATCTTCCAGACGGAGTCAGGGGAGAGCGGAGAGTAGTGTTCATATTGTGTAATTGTGGAGGGGGGGGGGGAGGAAGAGGGGGAGAACGAGGGGGCTGGGGGAGGGTAAGGGCGAGGGGGGGGAGGGCGCGGTGGATCTGGGATCAAGGCTTTTGGGGTGCCAGCGTGTTGGGGCGCGCTCCCTTGAGCCTTCGAGGGCCTTCAGGAGCCTCCGGAAGCCTCTGGGGCCCACCGGACACTCCCCCTCTCGCCCCTCCCCTTTCGCCCCTCGCCACCCCTGCCGCTCGCCCCGTCGCCCCTTGGCCCCATCCCCCCTTGAGCCCTCCAATCCCTCGGGGGGACGGGGGGCCCCGCTCGGCAGCTACCGCCGCCAGGCCCCAGCACCCCACCTTTCACCCCGCCTCGCCAGCACCCGAGAGCGCCACCGCACCTCCCCCGCGTCGCCAGCACCTCGCACGCTCGCCAGCCGTCGCGCACCGCCGCACCACCACCTCGCCCTCCTCGGAGCCCCCGGGACGGGGAGAGCGGCTAGGGCCTCGCTCGCGGGGAGGAGGCCCGCGCCGAGGCGGCGCAAAATCGGCGCTAGATGATCGACTACCAGACGCTAGCGCACGCTAATGTTATGTCGGGCGCGTCCCCCATACAGGAGGATTTTCGACGAAAAAATAAAAATACCCCAAAAATTGTCCAAAAAGGTCAAAAGATATTCAAAAAATACTCCCCAGGCTATGTTTGGACTATGTTTTACTATTTCTGTGGTTTTTCTATTCCCAACCATCCTGTGGTGTTGGGTCCTCGTTTTGATAAGACAGCGCCCCGCGTCCCACCTCCTCCTCTCCTCCTCCCCCTCCTCCCCTCCCATCACCATGATCATCATCATCATCATCATCATCATCATCATCATCATCATCATCATCACCACCACCACCACCACCACCACCACCACCACCACCCCATCATCATCATCATCATCATCATCATCATCATCATCACCACCACCACCACCACCACCATCAGCAGCAGCAGCAGCAGCATCATCATCATCTCATCAATCATCATCATCATCATCATCATCATCATCATCATCATCATCATCATCATCATCATCATCAGCATCATCATCATCATCATCATCATCATCATCATCATCATCATCATCATCATCATCATCATCATCATCATCATCATCATCATCATCATCGCCATCATCCCCTCCCCTTCCCCACACCATCGTCACCATCATCACCATCACCCATCATCCATCAGCATCATCATCTGCAACATCATCCTCATCCACATTCTCCTCATCATCATCGTCATCATCACCGTCCCCACCGCCCATGTCGTCACACCCCTCACACGGTTCGTGGCCCCATAGGGAGCTCCACCGAAGGCCCCAGTGGCACAGTTCGCAAGCGTCCCCTCCGTCCACCGCAGCCCCATTTCGGCACGCCCCTCACACGGTTCGTGGCCCCATGGGGAGCTCCACCGAAGGCCCCAGTGGCACAGTTCGCATGCGTCCTCCCCGCCCACCGCAGCCCCATGTTGGCACACACACACACACACACACACACCACACGGTTCGTGGCCCCATAGGGAGCTCCACCGAAGGCCCCAGTGGGGGTGTCCGCATGCGTCCTCGCTGTCCACCGCAGGCCCATTTCGGCACGCCCCTCACAAGGTTCGTGGCCCCATAGGGAGCTCCATCGAAGGCCCCAGTGGCACAGTTCGCATGCGTCCTCCCCGCCCACCGCAGGCCCATTTCGGCACACCCCTCACACGGTTCGTGGCCCCATAGGGAGCTCCACCGAAGGCCCCAGTGGCACAGTTCGCATGCGTCCTCCCCGCCCACTGCAGGCCCATTTCGGCACACCCCTTCACACGGTTCGCGGCTCCATAGGGAGCTCCACCGAAGGACCCACTGGCACAGTTCGCATGCATCCTCCCCGCCCACCGCAGGCCCATTTGGGCACACCCCTCACACGGTTCGTGGCCCCACAGGGAGCTCCACCGAAGGCCCCAGCGGGGGTGTCAGCATGCGTCCTCCCCGTCCACCGCAGGCCCATTTCAGCACGCCCCTCACACGGTTCGCGGCCCCATAGGGAGCCCCACCGAAGGCCCCAGTGGCACAGTTCGCAGGCGTCCTCCCCGCCGCCCGCAGGCCCATTTCGGCGCACCCTTCACACGGTTCGTGGCCCCTTAGGGAGCTCCACCGAAGGCCTCAGTGCCGTAGTTCGCATGCGTCCTCCCCGCTCACCGCATGCCTATTTCGGCACGCCCCTTCACACGGTTCGTGGCTCCATAGGGAGCTCCACCGAAGGCCCCAGCGGCACAACTCGCATGCGTCCCCCCCGCCCACCGCATGCCCATTTTGGCGCACCCCTCACACGGTGCGTGGCCTCATAGGGAGCCCAACCGAAGGCCCCAGTGGAGGTGTCCGCATGCGTCCCCCCCGCCGCCCGCAGGCCCATTTCGGCACACCCCTCACACGGTCCGTGGCCCCATAGGGAGCTCCATCGAAGGTCCCAGTGGCACAGTTCGCATGCGCCCTCCCCGCCCACCGCAGGCACATTTCGGCGCACCCCTCACACGGTTCGTGGCCTCAATGGGAGCTCCACCGAAAGCCCCAGCGGGGGTGTCCGCATGCGTCCCCCCCGCCCACCGCAGGCCCATTTCGGCACGCCTCTCACACGGTTCGTGGCCTCATTGGGAGCTCCACTGAAGGCCCGAGTGGCGCAACTCGCATGCGTCCTCCCCGCCCACCGCAGGCCCATTTCGGCGCATCCCTCACACGGTTCGTGGCATCATAGGGAGCTCCACCGAAGGCCCCAGCGGCACAGTTCGCATGCGTCCCCCCCGGCCACCGCAGGCCCATTTCGGCACACACCCCACACGGTTCGTGGCCCCATAGGGAGCCCCACCGAAGGCCCGAGTGGCGCAGTTCGCATGCGCCCGCCCCGCCCACCGCAGGCCCATTTCGGCACACCTCTCACGCGGTTCGTGGCCCCATAGGGAGCTCCACCGAAGGCCCCAATGGCACAGTTCGCATGCGTCCCCCCCGCCCACCGCAAGCCCATGTGGGCACACCCCTCACACGGTTCGTGGCCCCATAAGGAGCTCCACCGAAGGCCCCAATGGCACAGTTCGCATGCGTCCCCCCCGCCCACCGCAAGCCCATGTGGGCACACCCCTCACACGGTTCGTGGCCCCATAAGGAGCTCCACCGAAGGCCCCAGTGGGGGTGTCCGCATGCGTCCCCCCCGTCCACCGCAGGCCCATTTCGGCACGCCCCTCACACGGTCCGTGGCCCCATAGGGAGCTCCATCGAAGGTCCCAGTGGCACAGTTCGCATGCGCCCTCCCCGCCCACCGCAGGCACATTTCGGCGCACCCCTCACACGGTTCGTGGCCTCAATGGGAGCTCCACCGAAAGCCCCAGCGGGGGTGTCCGCATGCGTC